CAGTATTCCATTGTGTGGATATACCACAGCTTCTCTATCCATTCCTTTGTTGACAGGCCCTTAGGCTGCTTCCAACTCTTTGCTATTGTAAACAAAGCTGCAATAAACATGGGTGTGCATATATGCTTGGATGGCAGACATGGTCTCTCTGGGGTATATTCCCAGTAATGAGATTGCTGGGTCAAATGGTATCTCTATTTGCAATTTTTTGAGAAAGCGACACATCATCTTTTTATAGGCAAGCATCTATTAAGTAAACTGTTGGGGTTGAAGTATATTACTGTATTCAATGTGGGACAAGTGAACAATGGTAATAAAAATTCAACGACTACTGAGTGACTACAGAAAAAGGATGTTGAGCCAGATGTTCATCTATGATCTTCCAAAATCTCTCCTACAAACAGTTTCTCATACATTTTTCAAAAAGTCAGTTTCAGATGGTTTATCTGGTAATCTAAGGATCTTTCTTTTCTTTTTTTTCCTTCTGAATTCCAAAGATCTTTGTAAGGCAGCTCTTCAACTAATAATCCCAAGAAGATACTAAATTTTTTCCTCCATATTATCAATTATCATAACTACAAATATGAAAGAAGAACAAGATAGATTAACAAAGAATATTTTTGCATAGTATGAACTAGAGGTGCTATTTGCTGCAGCTATTTCCTAGTATCTAAAATAATAATTAAATGTTAAGAAGCCACTTACTGCTACACCAGCATGATAACTTGTTCCACAAGCAATAAGAATCAACCGTCGACATCTCTGTATCTCCTTAATGTGATCCTTCAAACCACCCAAATTCACTGAAATAAAAATTTGTATATGTAATGAATTAGAAAAGAATCCTATAAAATAGGCAATAACTTTTCATGAGCACCCATTACCAATCTAAAATTCTTCTTCAGAATATCAGGAAGAATCTACACAACGGTAATCCTGAGATGAGATACAGGTGAGAAGTTTAAGTTAATGGGAATGAAATAACTTGAACAGCGATTATGACAAAGACAAGACAGCCTGCAGAATACAATAACTGTCATGGAATTGTACCTGTATAAACTGTTGAATGAGCCTATGTTTTGCTGGTTTTTTTACACTCTCTCTCACACACACACGCTCACTCTATTATGTCAAATAAATAACTGCCTCTCAAACTTGAAATTAACCTAGTATACTGACTTTGCGGTCTAGTGGGTAAAGAGTGTGCTGCCAACCCAATGGCAGGTAGTTTTACCAGCTGCTCTATTGGAGAAAGATAGGCCATCTCCTCCCATGTCATTTATAACATCTGAAAATCCACTGGAGGGTAAGCTAAGAGTTAGTTTTGACTCAATAGTACATAACAACTACCACGTGTTCATATGATACAGTAATTCTCCTACTCTACTCTATTCAGTCAATTCACATAGCTAAAGTTGGGGAAAGGGCTGGGAGAAGGACCCAAAATGGGGGGGGGTTAGTTTTGGTGTTTGGTTTTTTTTTATTTTAAGTTTATTTTCATGACAGTTTACAGAGACTTTGGATTTCCATTCATTCATTCATTGTTGCACTTTTCTCCCTGCCCACCCCTCCCGCCAATTAGCTTTTCTTTTGAAAAGTAAAAGAAAAAGTTCTTTCATTTTAAGAGACATCCTAACTGTCATCAAAGTTAGGATTAAGATGATATTGGAGAGGTTGTCTGAGAACTATATAAAAAAGAATATAAATTCTATTCTAGCTAAATTATATTCAATAGAAGTGGCTGGGAAAAAGTTAACTTATTTCTCTTCATTTCCTGTAACATGACAAGAATAGAGCTCTATACTCATTCTTCTCTGTCCTCATCTTGGTAAACGTTATCATCTAAGTATTTCAGGCAAAATCCAACATGGGCTTATTTCATCATCCAATCACTCTCCTATAATCACTTTTCTACATCAATTCTACAGCAAGCCATTCAATTATTCTTTTACTAGAATTTCACTGAGTATCGCTAATTGAATATACTGTTTGGGACACTGAATACCTCCCTATAGCACTATTCTAAAAAAATTCGTTCTGGTTAGAGAGAGACAAAACTGTTCTATCTGGGTTTCAGAAATTATTTTCAACCAAAGGAATTTGGTCTTCGTCCTGGATAGCTGCCAGAGAATTCTGAGAACCTTGAAATTTCAGTAAGTTCTCTGGACCATTAAAAATGTCCAGCATAGTGCTGTACATATTGTAGTTGTTCAGCAAATCTTTCCTAATTAGGAGGCTTTTTTAGTGAGATGCTACTAAAAAAAAATAAAACAAAAACCACATATAAAAAGAGATCATGCATGCTTGCTCTTTTAATTATTCAGAAAAAATAATATTCAGAATGTTTGATGAATGAGAAGACATACTGTACATATGACACAGATTTAAAAAAAGATTTCTGCAAATCAGTATGTTTTTTTCCCAAATTACCTTCTAATTGAGATTTTAGCACAAAACTTCCCTCTTAACTTACTCATTAACTGGATATGATGAAATAAAAGTCTACATACATATATACTCTAACAATAGTTTGTGGTTATTTTGTGGTTTAAGATTAATTCTCTTTAACTGATTTAACAAGATACACAAACTGCCATAATACAGGGTCTATGAAAAAAACTAGTACTACCTTCCTAACCTCTACCTTTAAAATGTAGGCAGGGGTAGAGGTTATTTTGTAAGCATTTGATATGTTTACTTATTTATAAACTGAAAGAACCTAAACTGAAGAGATATATGTAAAGTTCCCAGCCTAGAAATCAAATCTCATTCTTATCAGAATTCTTATTACTCATCATAGTCATTAAAAATATAATACCAACTTACATGTCTGTCGAACTATAAAGAAGTTAACATTTTTATGGTTACAGTGAAGGACTTTTATAAGGTGACTGAGTTTCTATTGATGATTTACAGGTTTTCAAAGACAATTCAACAGATTTGCAATAATAAAGCAATTCATCTGAATTTCTAGATAGACAAGGAAACAAATCTGTACCAGTAAGGGCATCAGAAAATAAAAAAAGAAAAAGAGCAACTACAGATGATAATCCTGGCATCTGGAGAGTAAAAAAGAGGAAAATCAGGCATAAATCAAAGGAAGAAACTGAACAAAAGTACTGACTGAAGAGGCAAAGGAAGCAGATAACTGTGAAGGAACCCAGAATCGGGCCATCTATAATGAGCTCTCTCCTGATAAGCTCTATAGCACTGGTAGAAACCCTGAATCGCAGCAGTGAGTGACGCAACTGGCTTGCATCAAGGAAAAGGATCTTTCCTCACTATTTGCCCAATGCACCATCTAGGATGAACAGAATGATCTGGGCATGCAGGATTTACCTTGCCTCCTAGGTCAGTTCCTCTAGAGATCAAGCTTAAGCTACTTTTTAAAAATCTGCCACTGGGAGCACCCACATATATACTGTGATTCAGATCTCTTAGCAGCCAACAACTTGCTTGGCTGAGAGGCCCTGGAGAAATGCACCAGAGGGCCAGACCCTGTGCCATGTTCATTGTTGGGCCCACCTCACCCCACCCCAGTCTCAACCCAGGCCCTGAAGCCTAGCTCTGTGCCTGTCTGCACAAGCACCACACCTGAGCTGACTTGCACACCCAGGCACAACGGTTCAGACACTCCAGAAACCACTAACTTGCTTGGCTCAAGGTCAGAGACACCTGTGTCAATCAGACTGGGATCTACACAATAGAGTAGCAACAGCCTCAGGAAAGAACCTGAAACCAGTATGAGACAAAACTAACTTGGAACTGCTTCCCATGGAGTCAGAGCCAAGGACTTTCACCCAAGCTTACTGTAGGACTGAAGGAAGATGCCCTAAATGGCAAAACCAAGGGCACTTTTTAACATTGACCTAAGCCATGAGGCTGAAGGCCAATGGCGTTGCAAGCACACTTGAGAAGCTATCTGGACTGAAGAATTCTATCTTGTTGCCAATCTAAACTGTAATCTGTTTACTTTTCATCCTGAGTATGGTTCTGTGAAGCCTTTGTAGCTATTGCAATGGACTCTGGATCCGGTAGAGCAGTAAGACTGTGTTGGAATTAGTAGAAAAAGAAGCAAGGGCATGGGACCATGTCTGACTTCAGCAGAGATTTTATACTGTAGATGTTGTTGATAGGAATGGTTCCCTCTTGCAGAGTTAGTAGCAGTTAGACTTTTGGCTGGTCTTATGCCACCTACATTCATTTTACAACCAGTCAAGAGAATAAGAGAAGCAAAGGGCTAAGAAAACAAGACCCATCAATATGCCGTCAACAAGAGATATACTTGACACACAAGGATAAAAACAGACAAAGATTAGGGGGAAAAACCACATCAAGCAAATGTCACTCTAAAAAGAACTGGAATGGTAATATTAATCTCTGATAAAATAGACTTCAAGGCAAAAACCAGCACATGGAACAAGGAAAGATATTATATAATGATTAAAAGGTCATTAGAACAAGACGTCTTAACCATAAGTAATATCTACACATCAAATTATAGAGCCCAAAAATATACAAACCAAATTTTAATAGATTTGAAAAAGAAGACAACACCAGAATAACAGCCTCTCCCCCAAAAGTCAGTTGGTGGGTTTGAATTGCCCACTTTTTTGGTGAACAGTAAAGCACAATACTTATTAATGAAGTGCTTCAGGATGAAGGGAAGGACAATGTGGAATGAACAGCAGATCAGACATGATATGCACTGTACGTAAAGTTCAGAACAAAATAGCCACTAAATGAATGGCGAAAAACCCAACTAATACGCTTTGTAAACTTTCACTCAAATCACAATAATAAAAAAATTAAGAAAAAAAATCACATATTTTTACCAGTATAGTCATCAAAATTGACTCTTCCTCTCATGGTGTTCACGACTGATTCAGGCTGCTCAAAAATTTCCTTCTGCATGAATGAACTGAAGTTGCCTAAAATAATATAAATTATATTAGCAAAATAAAACCTAAACAATAAAGAATCTGTACATAATTAAAAGTCTATTTCCTTTAATTAACGTTGCTAATTTAATTACTCTTAATAAATAAAATGGGAAGGAAAGGTCAGGCGACAAAGGACAACATTCATAGAAGGCTGCTTAAAAACCTTGATCAATACATTTTACTTGTGGTAAAAAGAAATGAGCAAGTAAGTAAGAAAATTCATATTTCATACCAAAATTTCATTAACTTTGTACCCAAAATACATAGTCATAGTAAAACAGGAAAATGGACAAGCTTAACTTTTATAGCCATATCTAGGTTCAAATTACGGATTTCATCTACTAGCTGCTGTTGTTAGGTGCCGTCAAGGTCAGCCACAACTCACAGTAACCCTATGAATAGCAGAACTAAACCCTGTCTGCCCTCTCCTGTGCCATTGTCACTGTCCCTGGGATACTCAAAGTCCATTACTCCAGCGACTGTGTCATCTATCTAATTGAGAGTGTTACTCTCTTTCACTGACCCTCTATCATTCCAAGCATGATGTCCCTTTCTGAGGAGTGGCCTCTCCTAACAACATGCCTGAAGTAGGTGAGATAAGAGTTTCATCATCTTTCCTTCCAAGGAGCATTCTGGCTGCACCTTCTCCAAGACATACTTCTTTGTTCTTTTTGCAGTCCATGGGATATTCAGTACTATTATCCATCACCATGACTCAAAGGCATTGATTCCATTACTGTCATCCTTAGTCAATGTCCACCTTTCAGATGTATAAGAAGTAAATGAGAAGACCATGGCTTGAAGAATCAGAAGCACTTTAGTATTCAAATTGACATCACTGCTCTTCAATCTCTTGGAGAGGTCCCTGGCAATGGACTTCCCCAAAGCAACAACTCTTTTGACTTCTTGATTGCTGTTTTCAAGAGTGTTGACTGTGGATCCAAGCAGAGTGAAATCGCTAACCACTTCAATACTCTCTTCAGCTCTCATGATGTTGCCTATTGGTCTGCTGATGAGGACTTCTATTTTTTTGATGTTGAGATGTAATCCATATTGAAGACTGCAGTCTTTGACCTTCTAAAATAAACATCTCAGGTCTTCCTTGGTATCAGCAAACAAAGTCGTGTCATCTGCATATCACACACTGTTGATGAGTCTCCAGTTCTAATTTCTCATTCTTCTTCATAAATCTAGCCTCTTGAATGATTTGCTCTGCATACAGATGGAATAGGTTGGAGAAGGGATACAGCCCTTACGTATACACTTCTTGATTTTAAAAAATTTGGTTTTCCCTTTCTCTGTTCAGACAACAGCCTCTTAGTCTAAATTTGGTCTAGGTTTGGTCTAACTTGTACCTATAGATATGTTTGACATGTTGTTATAGTTGTGTACCTTCGAGCTGGAACCAACCCACAACTGACCCTCCAGCGGGTTTTCAGGGGCAATTAATTACACAAAAGAATATTGCCACACCAACTCCAAGGGAGTCTGTGTGACAAAAGCTTCAAGGAAGTCAGCCTCTTAGAACGTGTGCTTTCTTGGCCTTTTTGTAATTTCTCTTCGATTGTCTCTTTGTATTTTCTATGTGGGTCAGGGGGAGAAGGCTGTGTCCTTTACACAAAGCGTTCCTACTAAAAGTTTGTTAGATGTTCCCAGAAAGGAACTAAATGGAGGTGACAACTTGAATATGCAAACATTACCTCCAGTTCTTCTAGCATTACTAAAACTTCAAGAATAATATGATTTTAGGGGAATCCATGGATGCATTATAACGAGAAGAATTAATGGTGGAAATCCCAGAGATGGCCACCCCAGAGATTCCTTGATGTCTAGGGCTTATAAGAACTCCTTCAAAGGAAAAACTCAAACCCTTGCCCCCCACCATGAGAACACCAGGTGGAAGAATTGGTTATCTATTAGGTAATGGTCGTTTGTGGCAGCCCCCTATTGGGAGAGGCCCTTACAGAATTCCAGAGTCTACAGGTAAACCTCTTCCATATACTGGAGAATATGATGAATTTAATGCAAAACACCCTGATGGTTTTATGTCTTGGGATATATTTTTCAAAAGATTTGAAAATGATCAAAGGGAAGATGTTATGCGAGGTATAGGTGGTAAAATAGATCATGAGACACGAGATTGGGATGATGAATTTAGGCGATATTATGACCCAAAACATCCTTTGTATGAACCTAAACCCCCTTATTGAGATAGTGATCACCCCTGGAATAATGGAAGGCGTAAAAGTGTTGTCTATTGAATGGAAATAAATAATATTGTAAATTCAGCAAAAAATTTAAAATTTAAAATGTATCAGCTTAAATTTAAAACGTAACTTTTTTACTTTGTAACTTTATAACCCAAGTTGGAAAACAGGTTTGAGAACAGGTTTGAGAAAATGTTTAAGCAAAAAGTCTACCAAGTTCTCCAATTACCAAGGAACCCTGACTGTAAAGAATAGCTGTGTGCAAGAAAATAATGTAAACGTTCTTCTTACTTTTGTTATCTTTTTGGCTATCGCTAAGCCCCTAATTGTAAAACGGGATATAAATATATCATGCTAAGTGCAAAAAAATATGTTGCTGCTGTTGTTATGTGCCGTCGAGTCGTTTCTGACTCATAGAGACCCTATGCACAACAGCCCTAAACCCTGCTCTATCCTGTGCCAACCGCACCGCCTCTGACACACCCATCCCTATTACCCCAGTCACCGAATCAATCCATCTCATAGAGGGTCTTCCCCTCCTGCGCTGTCCCTCCACCCTCCCAAGCATGATGTCCCTCTCCAAGGACCCGTCCCTCCTGGCAACATATCCAAAGTATGTCAGACGAAGCCCCAGAATCCTTGCCTCCAAGGAGTAGCTTGGTTTAATCCTCTCCAAGATGAATCTGTTTGTTTTCCTGGCAGTCCATGGTACATTCAGTACCCTTCTCCAGCACCACAGCTCAAAAGCATCCACTCTCCTTCTGTCCTCCCTAGTCATTGTCCAACTCTCTGATGCATTACAAGCGATTGCAAAGACCATGGCCTGTATCAGGCACACCTTAGTCTCCAGAGAGACACTGTTGCTCCTGAGTACCTTAGAGAGGTCCCTAACAGCAGACTGTCCCATCACGATATGCTTTTTGATTTCCTGACTGCTGGTGCCAAGAGCGTTGACTGTGGAGCCGAGCAAACTGAAGCTGTGAACAATCTCAATCTCTTCGTCATCCATCCTGACGCTGCCAATTAGTCCAGTGGCGAGAATCTTTGTCTTCTTGACATTGAGCCTTAGTCCATACTGAAGGCTGCAGTCCTTGACCCTTCGCAGCAAGTGCATAAGGTCCTCCTCAGTTTCAGCAAGCAGGATTGTGTCATCTGCATAACGCAGATTGTTAATAGATCTTCCACCAATCCTGATGCCACAATTCTCCTCATAGAGCCCAGCCTCTCGGATAATCTGCTCTGCATACATGTTGAAAAGGTATGGAGACAGGCAGGATGCATCCCTGTCGTACACCCTTCCCAATTTTGAACCATGCAGTGTTACCCTGCTCTGTTCTGACTACTGCCTCTTGGTCCAAGTATAGGTTTCGTATTAGCACAATTAAATGTTCTGGGATTCCCATTCTTCTCAGAGTCAGCCACAGTTTGTTATGATCCACATAGTCAAATGCCTTTGCATAATCAATGAAACACAGATAGACATTCTTCTGGTATTCTCTGCTTTCAGCCAAGATCCATCTAACATCAGCAACAATATCCCTAGTACCACAACCCCTTCTAAACCCAGCCTGGACTTCCGGCAGTTCTCTGCTGATGTGCTGTTCTAAAAAATATAACTTAGAATTTAAATCATCAGATCACTTGATTGTGCGTCTTGTGTTTTTTCACTGTCCTTCCGCCGAACTTCCACCCACCTTCGTGTTCCCTCTTCGAGACCCTAGACCCCAGGCTTGCAGCCCCCCGGTGCAGCAGCCCGCAGCAGAGTTGTCCATCCTTCTCCTGTGAAGCAGCTGGTGGCCTCAAACCACATGCCTTCAGGAGTACAGTGCAGCTTCTTGTCACCAGGGCATGAGCATACTTTAAGTGTTTGAAGATTCCTTTTCTTCTCCATATTAGCCATAGTTCGTTATAATCCAAAGGCAAATGTCTTTGAAAAATTACTTAATCTTTAAACAAATATAGCAGCTAAGATAGTAAAGAACTGTAGATGCAACAGATATTCAATAAATCTTAGCTTTTATACCTACTACAACTCAATCACAAAGGAGCAAATAATCATAATAGCAAATAGATGCAAACTATTAAAAATGTGTATAGCTGACTGTATCAGACATTGCTCTAAATGCTTTACATAGATTAGAGCTGTTAATCCTTAAAACAGTCATACTAAGGTAGTACTAACCCCACACAATGAGAAAACTGAAGCATAGATAAGAGATTAATAAGAAACAGAACAAAAGCTAGATGAATGTTTATAAAACACCTTAAAGATGTCAAGGACTCCATTATCTCTGTCTTTGAAAAAAACTGTTAAACGCAACAATCAGTTAGGAAGGATAATTACTGATGCAAGACCATCAGGCACTTTCTCTGATGGATCACCCCTCTTCCTTTGATTATTTCTTCACCATTATTTCACTCATCATGTGGTATCAGATTCGTATGCTAGAAGAAGAGGTAGAAACCAAGTACATCAAGTTACAACATATCAAAAATTCTCACCCTTCATGATCTGCTGCAGTTCCATCTGGAGGGTTTGCACCGCTCGTCCAGGGTGGTCTCCTGCAGTTCGTTTAATCCGATGAATAGAAAGACGGCCATCCACCACTGCTGCAACATCATCATCTTCCAGAAATATGACTCGATTGGTGTGCTCTATGACGGCACTATAAAATATTGCAGGAGATATCATAATCAAAAATCAAAGACTATTATGATTATTAACGAGCAATGAAGTCCTAGAACACAAAACTAAAGGGAAATATAGTACATTATCCTGCACTACCTCTGAAGGTATATTCATTCATTTGTTCATCTGTCAAATATAATGTATTACACATTACAATGAACTGACAACAATCTATTAAAAGTCTGCTACTATTTATTTTCAATTAAATGTTACTTTTAAAAGGAAATTTCTACTGACTAACTTAAGGAGACACTATAATGAATAAGTCTCATGCCTACATGGAAAGTATTGAAGAGAATTTCTAAGACAAAACCATAAACACAATACATGGCAAAATAAAAGACTAAATGATTATATCAGCTCAGAAAAGGAAAAAGTAATTCTGTGAAATAAAGATGAGCTTCTCTTTGTACTTTTGTAATTAATAGGAAGAGCACTTAAGTGAAATATAACATGTTTAATTTAGGTGAGTTGCATATTAAGTGTCTATACGAAATAGAGATTGGGAAAATGAAAGAAAAGGAAGAGAGAGCTGGGGCAAGCTCAGGATAAAGGGATAAATCTAGGAATCAACTTTGAAGGACAATAAATGCTTAAAAAAGTTGTAGAAAAGAAAAAGAAAGACTGGAGAAAGAGGTTGGAAACAATCTAGCTAGAGATACATAGATGTTGCTATATACCATCGAGTTGAACCCAATTCATAGCTACCTCTCCAGCAGGTTTTCAGAGGCAGTAAATCACATAGGAGATTTCCCATTGTCTGGCAGAGCAGCTGAATTTGAACCACATGCCCTGGAGTTGCAGTGCAACTCCTTTCCACTAGGCTCCCAGAGCTCCCTACACAGATGACAAAAATGGAAGCAAAGAAAGAAAAGAGAGTTAGGAGACCATTTTCAAAAGTTAAAAAAAATCTGGTAGAAATCAGAGAAAACCAAAGATAGAAAATAGGAGCTGGAAGCTCTGGTGGCCTAGTGGCAAGAAGCTGCACTGCAATCTCAAAGGTGAGTGGTTCAAATTCATCAGATGCTCTTCTGGAGAAGGAAGGACAATCTCCTCCTGTACCGATCTGATCTGAAAGTACACACACACAAAAATAATAAAATAAAATAAAAAATTAAAAAAGAAAATAGGAGCAAAGATTATCAGAATTCCAAGAAAGATGGGGTCACTGATTTAAAGGTCTCTGGGGACCTAAAAGGACTCTCTGTGGTGTAAGCAGTTTGTAGTCAATAGGCTGCTAACCTAAAAGCTGGTGGTTCAAAACTTTCAGGTGGTTAAAACACCATCCATACATACAGTGCTGGTGATCTTCTCCTATGAGACTACAGTCAAGAAAACCCTGTGGAGAAGTTCTACTCCGTAACACATGAGTTACCTTGAGACAAACTGACTCAACAGCAACAGGTTTGGTCAACTAAGAGAGGTGAGAAACTTAGTGGGAAATAAAAATAATTACAAGAATATAATCTGTTCTTTAAAAATTCAGTAATAGTCTGGAACAAAAGGTACACTGCAAAACGTCCTGGGAGTGGGACGGGGAGGGGAGGGAGGGAAATGAGCAACAAGGAATGAAAACTCAACCTTTCCATAAACTTTTATTAAAATCACACTTTTTAAAAAAGAAGAAAAATTCCATAATCACAAGAGAAAGAGAAGGGTCTAGACCAGATGAAAAAAAGGAAGACTTTAGCTTTTTGTTTCTTAAAATAGAGGAGAAATGAGTTTGATCACGGAAAAAAGATATGAAAAGAAAACGTGGATAACCAAGACTGGAGGAAAGATTAGCTTTTACTATGAGAAAATCTAATTCTATCTTTTAAATAGTCAAGAGAGAAAGGATGAAAATGCAAAACAATTTCTAAGGAGATCTGTATGAGATAATCTTGACAGTTTTCTGAAAAATTGGCTTAGCCATAAATAGTTTATAAACATTTTATGATCATAGACTGTAGATCTCAAATTAATCTTGGTAGGGTGTGCCTATTTCCATGACACAAGGTCTAGACAAAGTTTCAAGAAACAAGACTATTACTGCACCCTAACCTCTGCTCCTTGAATCCCATCAAGCAAACATTCTTGAGGAAATTCACACCTTTATTGATTTATAAACTAAGGAAAAAATCCTAGGTAGAGCAGATACATATAAGCTTCCCAAACAGGGATCATTTCTCATTCATCTTAAAATTGCACTTTTCTAAAGAACACTGCTATGGTCACTGGTACACAGCAGATACCCAATAACTATTTGTTTAACTAAAAAGAAGTTAATGTTTTTAGCCGAACACTGAAGAGCTATTCAAAGATGACTGAATTCCACTATAAGGCTATATAAAAGACAATGACTTTTCAAGTTATCAAAGGCAACCAACCACCACAGGACAAGGAGTTGGAGGCAGGGAGGAGGGCAGTCACTGTGAACAATAAGTGAAAGAATTGCTTCACAGTACTTTAAAGAAAATTACATTAGATATTATCAAAAGCATGCCTATTTCTTCCAAATTCCATTACATAGCTTTCAAATTTTAACTTCTGAATGTCTCAATGTGTCTATGTCCACTACCAACCAGTACAAACTACTATTATCTCTCAGCTAAACTAATGCAACTTTCTAACTTGTTCTCTCAATCTTCCTTTATCCATTCTCCATTACTGCCCAAAACAGATCCTACCAAAATAGCAACTCCAATCTATATTTCTTCTTCATCCAATATCTTATGAGCTAATAATCCATCTTGATAGAGTGTTCTTCCCTATTCCTTTTTTTCCCTTATTAACTACTACTCTTTCTCCTTTTAGTTATGCTTTCTCTAAAGACTCACCTGGAATTAGCACTCTACTAGAGGCATTCTGTAGCTCCTGTCACAGAAGTCATTACATGTTTGTAGGATTATTGCTTAAAATTTACCTCCTTCATTAAACTTTGAGCCCTTTAAAGGTAAGCAGTATTTGTGTTTTAATTCACTATTGTCCCCTGAGCCTAGGAAATGGTTTGGCTCTGAGTATTGAATACAAACGCATTTGTGATGGAAAAAAGGCTAACATTCTCCTGTTTCTGTAATTTCCAGTTTATTAATTGTCAAGTCAGTTAACAAATGTACTTAATTATAGATAGTAACTACACAGTTTTATACAACTACAATATTAGAAAACACTAAAATTTGCTTTGTTGCCATTTCCTAAAGTCCTGAACTTCATTATTTTCTCATTTTTAACTTCCTGTACTTTCAGACACAATGAATGTCTCAAATCCTTGTTGGAAATGAGAAATTCCATTTTAAATGTATTTTATTGCTTTTCCATTCATAAATGTACCTAAACACCCCAATATATGCCCTCTCAAAGTGCCTCCGTGCAGTACTATTTCCTTTAGATGGAGAAATGCATTTTAAAATCATTTCTTTTCAATTTAAGTAAATGATCACTTTTCAAATTGCTTCTGAATTTTAAAAGCACATTTAATGAAATGCACATTAAATTAAAGCCATAATGGGTTAGCAATTACTCAATAATTGGTGGAATGCTAAATTAAGCATTTACTACCCTCCAATCTAAAGTCTCTCCTGCCCCCAAAATTTGAGTATAGCTCCTAAAAGGAGAGAACAACATAACACAGGAGCTCAGGTAAATACACTGAAACAAGTCTTAAGGCTTATATTTGTACTTCCTGAACTTGATTTAAGTGCTTTGAATTAAAAGAACAGGTATTTAAGTTTATCTCTTGCCAAGGAGTACCTTCAAAGGAATTACAGTAGAAAATTCTGGATTGGGGTAAGGGGGCAGAAGGAGCAAAGAGCAAAACTCAAAAACATAAAAAAAGACCAAGCTTACTGATCCAACAGAGACTATGGGACACCTGAGACTACAATTCATAGTCATCCTTTGAACCTGAAAGAAAACTCACTTCTTGGGCTCAACATTCAACCAAAAAACAGACAGGCCTTTAAAGCAAACAACAATACCAGGAGGGCAATTACTCCTTAATAAACAACCACATAAGGTTAAAAGAGCAAGATGTGCCTAAGAATAAAGGCCAGAAGGCAGAGAAGGGTGGACAGAAGGGTTTATTAGCTTTGTAAACTTTCACTCACATCACATCACACACACACACACACACACACACACACACACACACAAAACCAACTAATAAGGTAACTATCTTCAAAATAGTGATCTACATTTCTTTAACTGAAACAAAATTTTCTCTTTTTTCTATGCAACATAACTAAATTCATACAAAATAACTCCTTGGTTTCCTATCATTTTGCTGTACAGAAATTTTACAAAGCATTCTCTTTGAACCAACTAACACTGCTCACCTTGCATCAGAAGCAAAGTAATACTCAACTGCCTTTTCTTCAACAGGGAAGAGGCAAGTTGTGCTGTCCACACGTGAGAGATTACAACTTCCTTTCTTGTCCTTGCCTAGAGCATAGCATAAAATTTATATGAATCCTCAAACACATAAAATAATCACGTTCAATATAAAAAAATATAATTATCTATTAGATCAACAACTACCACGAAATGAAACAAAAGCAAAACAAAATAATTTCAGCAATTTTAAAATGCTAAGTAATCTCATTTTCATGCAATAGCCAATAGAACAACAAAATGTGTGGAGTGAAATAGCAACTATCAAAGAGTGTATAAGAGATAGTAATGTTACATTAAAATTTAGAAATATTTTTGTTTAATATATTTCATTGGGATACTTTAATTAGGAGTTGATTGAAATTATTTTTCAATACTTTTTTAAAGATAAGTATTTAAATCAAGTTATGTATTATATAATTTTGGTTTTACTGTGTTAAGCGTGATAGAGTTCATTTACATGGTTGTACGGCTTACATTTATAATAAAAAACATTTAATTATCAAAAACAAAGATAAGTGCTCGCTTTGGCAGCACATATACTAAAATTGGAACGATACAGAGAAGATTAGCATGGCCCCTGCGCAAGGATGACACGCAAATTCGTGAAGCGTTCCATATTTAAAAAAAAAAAAAAAATGAAGGAAAAAAAACAAAGATAAAAAATAAAATAAAGACTAGTGGTACATTAATTTTTATTATCTCTGGATTTTAATAGCATGTCACCATTTAAATTCAAATGGTATATTATTAACTTTGGTTTAAAAAAGACAATCACTCTCTATCCATATTATACAGTATATGGCAAATATGGCTAGAGGTTAGAAATATTATAAACTCGGTTGCTCCTCTCTTATAATTGGGTTTCCTTATATTTCTTTTAAGTCAAGATAAAGCAAGACTCTTTTGCAATAATAAAAACCAAACCAAACACACTGCTGTGAAGTTAATTCGGATCCACTGGGTTTTCAAGCCTGTCATTCCTAATGGGATGAGGTTGTCTATTTCTCTCCTCCACAGTGGCTCTTTTTGTAATGATTGCTGTTGATCCTCCAGTCAATTTTCAGAGGCAGTAAATTACATGAAAGGTAATAGCCTATCTTTCTCTGATGGAGCAACTGGTGGATTTAAATCATATATCTGTTTGGGTTGGACATGTAACTCATTATTAAGCCATTTCTTTTTAACTATGCCACTTTAAAATTTTGGCATCTCTACTTAACTTGTCAACTCATTGATGAATCTTTTTATTTTTTTCTGCTTGCTCACAACAAAATCAAGTCAAAGAAAAAAACTGAAAACCAGATTGACATTTTAACAAATTATAGTCAACTACTTAAAAAAACTTAGAGGTTGAAGATGCTACAAATATCTTAGAGACAAAGAAGCCTTCACTTAAAATAAGAACACAACTGATCTTATAATTTGTGGGCAGAGAGGCCAAAAAAATTACCAGAAATATACTTGCAAAAACTCATATTGTATTTATTTTTTAAAACCCATGTCTATAAAGAATGCTAATAATTAATATTAAAAATGTATATGCAAGGTTCTCCACTATCTGGGATTATTTTATATGTTTGGGGCATAAAATAAAATAACTTTTCCCATCCAAATGAAACAGGCAAAGAAGAAAATACACTTTTACAAAGACAACATGACAGTACATAAAAACAGACTGGAAATGGAAGTAAGTGTTGACTTGACTACAAGGCAGATTAAGGGAACTTTTTTTGAAAACAGAAGTATTGTTTTATATCTGAATTGTTTTTCTCATTATTTACAAAAGCAGTGCAAGAAAATGTACAAGGTAGCATATATATGCAAAACTATAAATGAAGTCTGGAACTCTGAATCCAAATTCTATACTCTCATAGGTAAATTTGCTTTACATCTCAGGATTTAAGTTATTTAAAGAAATAATTCTGCTCTAAATATAATAGTGAAAGCAGCCATCACTTACGGATGAATAAATTGAAAGTATTTTGCTACATTTTTGTCAAGAACACAAGAATTATACATTAATACAGATTTAAATTTCTTCTATATACTACTCCCAGTCTTTTACATGCAAAGCTTTCAGTAATAAGAAAACATAAACAGCATAGTAGTTTGGTTTGGTTTTTGTCTAACGTCAATAAAGTAATTTAGAGATTCTGTAACTAAAAGTCTTAAAGAGAAATAACGCCAAACATTAACAAAAAAATGGAGAGTGAATTAAAATTTAACAAAGTCAATCAAGACCTCAGATGTAAATCTAAAAGCAAAAAGTCATGCAGAAAAATAAAGACCACTTAAATACATTTTCGTTAAAAGCTAGACTACAATTATTTTTAAAAGCTAGACTACATTTTTTTAAATAAACATTACTTTGTTGAATCTATAATAATGCTCTTCCAATCTAAGCATCTATTTTGAATAAAGTATATTATGCTATTCTAACACAAACGTAAAAAAGACATTGTAATGTCAACTATTATCTCAAATTATAAATTTTAAAGAAATAAATTATTAAAAGCAGTTTTCTAAATGCCAAAAGCAGACCAAAAATACTCTGCAAAATAGAAAAATAATATCAAACTATGTTTCCCCATAAAATAAGCATATTTTTAGAAGCCCAGCACATTCATTCACTCCAAGAACAAGGAATTAGTAAAAATTGAGCGAAAAAGGATGAGATTTCTCCCCATCCATGCAGTGTGCATTTCCCACCTCTTTCTCCCTGTGATCCCCACCGTGTGAATTTTGATCCAATCTGAGTCCTAGCTAAGGATATACAACAGGAAAAAAGTCTACTAGTCAGAGAAATCACAAATACAAATATTTTTCATTGCAAAATGAAATAAATGTAGATCTGACCAACAGTGCATCCATTAAAACTTAAAGCCAACAGTTCTTTATATCTACTGTTTCATTTATAAATTTTCCCCATAGTATGATACTGAAATAGTTCTTACCTGTTCTATAAAGTATTGGAATGTGATCAGTAGAAAGTTTATGTTCACTTCGTACACCAATTAGCAGAGGGCTACCCCGCCTAAAAGAATAAAATTGTCAAGAATTAAACAATTTTTAAGGGGAGCTCTGGTGGCCTAGTGGCAAGAAGCTGCACTGCAATCCCAGAGATATGTGGTTCAAGTCCACCAGATGTTCTGCTGGAGAAGGAGGGACAATCTCCTCCTGTACTAGTCAGATCTGATTTGACGGTATACGCGCACACACACACATGCGCGCGCGCACACACACACACACACAGACACACACAAATTTAAAAAGAAATAATTTTTATAAAAAACTGGACTCAAAATTCAAATTTAGTGATCCAATACTCTTCAAATAATGTTTGAAATCTCCCTTCAGCTCTATTCCAAAATTACCAAAATAAGTACATAAAGAGAATTAAAAAAATCAGTAACAGGTTTGCAAATTACAGTTCAAGAGCCAGTTTTCCTAAAGTTTTACCAGAACACAACCATGTCACTCATTTGCATACTGTGAATGACTGTAGGAGCTAAGTAGTTACTATGTGGACATACGGCCTGCAAAGCCTGAAATATTTATAGTAGTCTGGCCCTGCACAGAAAAAGTTTGCAAATTTCATTTTCTAACAAAGTAATTTTTTTTCCTTTTTAATGTTAAATGGCATCTTTGTTCTGAGCAAACAAAGAACCCAAATATAACAACTTTAATTGCTTTTTAGTCCCACTGTCAGCAGACAACAGATAATATTTCTCTCACTGAATCGTAGTCTTTGACACTGTTATAAAAAGAACTTCACGGTCAGGCTTAAATAGTTTACTAAATACAGTGATGATAAAATTATCTAGGAACATAAAACGACATCATGTTGGGGAGCTCTAGTGGCCTAATGGCAAGAAGCTGCACTGTAATCCCAGAGGTACGCAGTTCAAGTCCCATGAGATGCTCTGCTGGAGAAGGAGGGGCAATCTCCCCCTGTATCAGACAGCTCTGATTTGACAGGACACACACACAAAATAATTAAAAAATAAAATAAAAAAAATATTTTTTTTTAAAAAAAAGACATAATGGTTGGAAAGGTGGAAGGTCAGCAAAAGAGAGGAAAACCCTCAATGAGATAGATTGACACAGCAACTGCAGCAATGGGCTCAAGTATGCTAGAGATGATGAGGATGGCATAGGATAAAAATATGGTTCAGAGCTATTGTTCATACGGTCAGTATTAGTTGTACTCAACAGTACCTAAAACAACATTGACTACTCTTACCGAAAATATGGCATTGCTTCCATTTACAATTGAACATTATTTTATTGCCCGTAAAATTGAGACTTTTCTTAGAATGGTTTATGACATTTGCCTTCGTAAATTCCTTCAAACGAGAATGGTTGTTGTGTGCTGTCAAGTCGGATCAACCTATTGCTGATGCTCCAATGAGCTTGCAGAGACAGTAAATCACACAGGAGATTCTTCTCCTGCAAAGCAGCTGGTAGATTCAAACCATGTGCTTTTGGGATATCAACACAGCTCCTTACCACTAGGCCTACAGAACTAAAGAATATTAGATATGGCCTAATATTATGGTATGGCCTCATATTAAAAATTAGTATTAGAAAGGGGCTAAAATGGTTAAGAATACTAAATATCCAAGTTCACAAAGTAACCATAATATTCCATTATGGACAAAGGACCAACTGTAAATACCAAAATATATTTGCTTTATTAAGGATTTAGTTAAGTGCTAAAACAGATAAGGAAAAGTATATAAAATGAATATGATCATATATATATATAATAGACAATGAATAAATATGTAACTTAAACATACAAAATATAAAGATTAGTGATCAGTAAATTTATATATGTACCGTGTGACAACTGCTTGTCCAGGAAAATGAACACTTTTAAATACAAGTGCAAAAGCACCTTCCTATAAAAGGAGAAAAAAAATATGTATTAGCAGTATTTACTATAATCAATTAACCAAATGTGAAATATCTCAAATATGCTGACTGCCAAACAGAAATTTTTGTTCACACAATATTCTTTAGAACTAGTTTACTGATAAATTTTAAGTTTTAGGAAATGAAGAACGAACAAAAAAGAAATATTGAGGCATGAGAGGTAAGAAATCACAAAAAAAACCCAAAGTGTATCACATAATGAGAAAAAGGAAAAAGCTTTTGGGAATGACAAAAGGCTAGGCGAGCACAAACTCTGCCTGAAGCAAATGAAAGAAGAGACCTCTATTCTGACCATCTTCACCAACACCTTTAGTTGCAGACAAAATTTGGGTGGAGATGAGAGGACCTTGGTAGAAATAAAGACAAATGGGAAGTTTAGACTGGGGAGGGGAATGTGACTATCATTATGGACTTGAACTTTTGTGGATCTCAGATCTCTTGTTAGTAGGAAAATAAAGATGAGAACAAAAAGAATATTCATTTTCCTGTGGACGGGAAGGTACTTTTCTAGAGAAGTGCAAGGTCAAGGAAAAGTTCTCATGAATAAAAATGCTGACTGTGGTGCTTTAGCACTATCCTTGAATAACACCTGTAGCTTCTTCTTTGAAGCTACCCTGATGCCAACATTACTGGTTTGCAAAGGACAGTTGGGTAAGCAGAAAGCAACTTCTGACTGTATGTGCTATGTACACTTAGGAGCTAGTGTGTATGCACAACTTTTAGACATAAACTGCTTGATTTATTTTTCATTTCCATGACTATAAAACAAAGCAAAATAAATAGAACTGAGGACAGAGAATAGGGAGTCAAATAGTCTCAATTCAAATTGAATAGTGTAATATCTATTTTTTTCATTTCACATATATGTAAAAGTCAAAATAACAGAAGAATTAGCATAATTCCTGCTTATCAAACTTAATTTTAAGAAAGCTTATCATAATTAACAAGGGCAGTAATCTTTTAAAAGGGTTAATACCAATTGCTGAATGACTCTCTCTACCAATGTGGTAAAACTAGTATCTTGACTTTCCCGGTTGTCATACATATATTTAACAAGTTTGGCAATCGTTTCTGTGTCTGTTTCAGATTCAAAGTCATAGCCTTTGCTTTCCTATAATCACAAAAGAAAAAAAAATCATACATTTAATGAAATAATCACAACACCCAAACTTTTCTCTAAATTATTTTCCTCAATAATAACACTACTCAGTTATTAACATTTTTCTGAGAATCATATATCGTTACTCATTGTTCAAAATTAATGTCACTATTCTAGTACAATAAATGAAAAATAGTAAAATACTTTAACATGCATCTAACTTGTAACTATATAAATTTATGTGTCACATGTGAGGGAAATATATTTTAGAGAAATAAAAAAAACCCTCTGTGAAACAGGTTTGAGGACTTGAACACCGATGAAGGAAGACCACATCAGTTGTGGGAGGATATCAACAATATCAGCAGGAAGAATGCAAAAGGTCACTAAAAAGATGGAGAAGAAAGAAAAGAGCAAGATGGGTGTCAGAAGAGACTGTGAATATTGCACTAGAGCACCGAGATGCAAAAGCAAAGGGAAGAAATCAGAAGTTAAGGAGCTGAACAGAAGATTTCAAAGGGCAACTGGGGAGGACAAAGTTAAGTATTATAATGAAATGTGCAAAGAGAATCTGAGAATCAAAAGGGCTGTACTCGCTCGGAATTTCTTAAGCTGAAGAACAAATTCAAGTTTTGAGCTGCAATACTTAAGGATGCTATGAGCAGAATACTTAATGATCCAGGAAGCATTAAAGGAAGATGGAAGGAGTACACAGAGTCACTGTACCAAAAAAAAAAACAACTGGCTGACAGAGAAGTATTTCAGGATGAAAGAGGAAGTTCAAATTGCTCTGAAGAAATTGGCAAAAGAATGGCCCCAGGAACTGATGGCATACCAACTGACATATTTCAACAAAAAGTTGCTGCTCTGGATGTGTTCACAAGGATATGCCAAGAAATCTGGAGGACAACTACATGGCCAATTGACTAGAAGATATCTATACTTATTCCTATCCCAAAAAAATGGTGATCCAAAAGAGTATAGAAATTATTAAATAATATCATCCACAAGCAAAATCCTGCTGAAGTTTATAAAAAAATGACTGGACTAGTACATTAACTGAGAATTACTAGCAATACAAGCTGGGTTTAGAAGAGGCCATGGCACTAGAGACATCATCACCAATGTCAGATGAATCTTAGCTGAAACAAAGAGGACCAAACGAATGTCTATCTGTGCTTCATTGTCTATGCAAAAGCACTTGACTGTGTAGATCACAACAAACTGTGGCTAACCTTGAGAAGAATGGGAATCTCAGAATACTTGATTGTGCTCATGTGAAACCTATACTTGGTTCAGGATGCAGCTGTTTGAAGAAAAAAGCAAGGAAACCCTGAATGGTTCAAAATTAGGAAGAGAGTGTGTCAGGAATGTGTCCTGTCTTCATACCTTTTCAATCTGAATATGGAACAGATCATTCCAGACGCTGGACATTATAAGGAGGAGTGTGGCATCAAGAATTGAGGAAAATATATCAACAACCTGCATCATGCAGATGATAAAACCTTCTTTGCTGAAACTGAGAAGGATCTGAAGCGTTTGCTACAGAAGGTTAGGGATTGTAGTCTGCAATATGGATTGAAGTGTAACACCAAGAAGACAAAGATTCTCACCACTGGGTCAACTGGCAGCACCATGATAGACAGAGAAGAGATTGAGGTTGTTAAGAATTTCAAGGGAGCTCTTGTGGCCTAGTGGCAAGAAGCTGTGCTGTGCTGCAGTCCCAAAGGCATGCAGTTCAAATCCACCAGATGCTCTGCTGGAGAAGGAGGGGCAATCTCCTCCTGTGCCAGTTGGATCTCAACAGGACACAGCAAGTAATAAAAAAAAAAGTAATAGAAAATAAATAATTTTTTTTTTATTTCAATTTGCTCAGCTCCACAATCACCATTCTTGGCATCAACAGTCAGGAAATCAAAGACAAAATGCATTGGAGACATCAGCTGTCAGGGATAGGGATCTCCCCAAACTGCTAAAGAGCAATGATGTCAGTCTAGGAACAAAGGTGCACCTAATCCAGGCCAATCACAATTATTTGCTATGCATCAGAGAACTGGACAATGACTAAGGATGACAAGAAGAACTGATGTCTTTGAGTTGTGGTGCTGGAGAAGAGTACTGAAAACACTATGGACCACTAGAAGAACAAATAAGTTGCCTTGGAGAGGGTGAAACCAAGTTTCTCCTTGGAGACAAGGATTCTGAAGATCCAACTCACATACACTGAGCCAGAAGGGATCAGCCCTTGGAGAAAGACATCATGCTTGGAAGGGTGGAGGGACAGCACAGAAGAGAAAAGAGTTCAAATGAGGTGGACTGATGCGGTAACTGGACCAATGGGATTAGATATGTTGGAGTCTGTGAGACTGGCGGCCTCAAAGCTATTGTACACAGGGTCACTATTAGTTGCAGGTGACTTGATGGTACATAAGAACTACATAAAACTCTCTTAAAACACTGATTCCCTCTCAAATATCTAACCCTCTTAAAGCATCATAATGAATATGATATAATCTTTCTTTTATGATGATGACAGTATTGTCTGGTACAATATGCACTTATTACATGTGGCTTTTAAAATTTTAATTAGTTAAAATGAAATACCATTTCAAATTCTTCAGTCACATTAGCTAAATACCTACATGAAGATAATGACTATTGTATTACATACCACATACCTAGAGTATTTTCATTATTATAACAACTTCTTTTGGATTGCCTCAAGAAGACAGTCAGTCATAAAGGTCAACATTATGACTACTGCTACACAGTGCATTAATCTGTCCTGATAGTAACAAATTCTAAAAACTACTTTTAAAATTATAAAAAGTCATTAATAATGAAAAAAGTTTCCTCCTAAAATGAAAGTTTCATTTGAAGTGATTATAAAGTAATTTATAATAAAATCATGGAATTATTTCCTTTATATATATTAAGTTCAAAATTGTTCAACTATCAAAAGAAAGGTCCAATAAACTATCACTGCTTCTTTTTTCTTTAGGAACTGTCTAATCATTTATACCAAAGTGCTATATACAATGTCACTCCTCTATTTAAAATATTCTCAAAAGAGTATTCCAAACTTACCAAAAACTTTTTCAAATCTTTGTAGTTGGTGATGATTCCATTATGGATAACAATAAATTCTAAGAGAGATAAAAGTACCGATGACAAAAATTGTTAAGTCTGATAAGCTTTCTAAATAGCAATCACTGTAAAAAGATTTTCCTCAAGTCAAAAAATTCTGTGTCCTGATTTCACATACAAGTACCATTTACTTTTCTAACTATTCACTTATCCTCAGATCAGCACGGCTTATGTGGCTTAGCTGAAGCAAAGAGCTGAAAGGCTGGTATTTCAGGGAATTACACTGAACAAGGAGTCTACAGACATCTTTCTCAACTGTAACTACACTATTAAATCAATGTTATCAGTAGAAAGTTGCAAATTTATGAGCCTGGTTGAAAAATAGAACTATTATTGTCACTTTTGCTTATTCACTATTATGCATAAAACACTGCTAAATTTAACTTTAAAGGAGGTTGACAGGACTATTATGTGCAGTTACTGACAGTGTATACAAGTACTACCAAAGTATATTTGTTACTCATGAGTTGAAATTGAACTGCACTATGAATCAAATCATAAAAATTTTCACTAGATTTTTAAGTGAGAGACGAGAATATACAGTACAAAATAAATTTAAGAAAAAAATGTTAACTTTCGATCACACAAATAAAGTACTGACATAAAGCCTTACATTGAAGCAAACTCTCAAAATACAATACAAAGGAGCTCTGGTGGGCTAGTGTTAAGAAGCTGCACTGCAATCCATGGTTCACACCAGATGCTTTGCTGGAGAAGGAGAGGCAAACTCCTCCTGTGCCAGTTAGATCCAATTTGATGGCACACAACAACAAAAGAAAAAAAAATACAATACAGAAACTTTTTTCAGGAACATCTTATAAAAGCTTTGTCATTTCAAAAGTTTCACAAGTTGTTAACATTCTAATTCATCAATATTGTGTGAACCAGAAGAAATCATAAAGATAATTTATGAATTAAAATATAAAACCTTATATCAAAAGGGCATACTTGTGTATCATATAATTGCATATACTTTTTTAAAAAAATGGACAGATAGGCCAAGTTATTTGTTAAATGGTTGGCTACAAGGAGAGATGAAATAAACCAGAGAAAACAGAATAGAAACTAGACTTTTTACATAACTTGTTTTATACTTATAGAATGATCTTGGAATTATTAAAATATTTTAAATAATTATAAGCAAAATTAATCTTTAACAAGAAATATGTAAAAATCTAATCAAATAAAAACATTGATATAACACTATTATCCAGTTGTCAGCACAACCCCATAATGAAAGATTATTCCCAGTGATGCTAAAATGTAGTCATTTAATTACATATCCCCCTTGAGGGAGATATATACAAAATTTAAAAAAAAAAAAAAATTTTAGGGCAGAGGGGTAGAAGGCAAGGAAATCACTAGGATGATAGACTTTGGTGTGTGAAAGGAGAAGGTAAAGGAATTAGGCACGATCCAATGGAGACCTGAAAAGATGGTATAATAATAGATATAGATCCATGGTGTTTAATTTTATAAAGCACAATGTACATGAATTTTGTATGCAAAACCCAATACAAAACTAAAATGTTAAGACAATTTTCAGTTATTATACTGTTAGTTTTATTATTACTTTCATAGCATGATGTGTTGTTATTGCTAACATTAAATCCACAGTTTGAATTCACCAGCAAGTCTACAAGAATCTCCTCCAGTCAAGATTTATAGCCTTGGAAATCCACTGGAGGGCTGCTATGAGTTGGGATCAACTCAATGGCAGTGGTCGTTGATATCACAATTTTAATGTACGTTTATTTTGGGGTAAATAAAACAAATAAGCTGCTTTTGCCAAAAGTCGAGTCTTGTGGTATTGACTAAAGTGAGACATACATTTAAGATCAATGAGCAATGAATTTTAATTGGAGTTTAATTAGTATAAAATTATGTTTTATCATTAATTTTTTTCCATAACTTTTTATTTTAATTTAGGTTTTACAATCATTTCACTCATTCATAAACATTTTGTTTTATGGCAATAATTACCACTGATTAGTATAATTAATTATATTTAATCAATTCTTTACTGTGTACTGCCTTTCCATTCACCCAACTTATTTACTGATTACTTTTCCTTTCTCCCTCCCTTCCCAAGCCTGTTAACCCTCCAAAATTTATTCTATTTATATATAGACATCTCCTTAGATTTTTAGAATCATTATCTTTCCACTATGTTGTTTAATTACAAAATTTAAAACATATGCCCTGACAGAGGCATATATTTTTCCATGGTCAATCCACTGAAAATACCTACGTGTAAAAAGCACATTTTGCATTCAATTTATTATCTTTAAATAGTATTTCCATTAAAAAGAAACTGAGGTAACTTGAAGAAACAGCTGAGTCCAGGTCTGAATCAGGATTACATGAACCTAGTCTTGGTCAACAAGAAAATAGCAAATGCTACTTAAAGTTATTTGGGTCATATACAAAGAACTCAAGAGCCAACCTGAATAAGCCCTAATGGGAATATTTGTGCATTTCAACAACTTCAATTATTTGAAAACAAACCAAATATTCTTAAATTCCTGAGTTTATAATGTTATCAAAGAAGAAAAAAACTCACTGCCCACCTTAATGTCGGAGAATCACTTTGAAAAATGGTAAATAAAGGAAAAAGAATCAAGCGCTTATCCTGCCTTTTCTATACATTCTGTACTTTCAGGTAACCAAGAAACTGATGTGGAAAATTCCATACTCTTTATAGAAGTATTTATGTAAAAATAAATAATAATATTAAGACTATAATCACTATACAGAGCTCTAGTGGTCTAGTGGTAAGAAGGTGTATTGGAATCCCAAAGGCAGGCAGTTGAAATTCATCAGATGTTCCACAGAAGAAGGATGGGCAGTGTCCTCCTGTGCGATTTACTGCCTCTGAAAACCTGCTGGAAGGTCAGCTATGAAACAGTTCCAACGCAATGGCAAACAACAATAATAATCATTTCACAAACAAACCAGGAAGCTCTGGTGGCTAAGGAATTGCACAACCAAAATGCACACCATTCAAATACACCAGATGCTCCTTAGGAGAAAGATGGATGATCTCTTTCTATGCAATTTACTACTTCTGAAAACCTGCTGGATAGTGACATATCAGTTGGTCTGATTCTGCTGGTAAACACAACAATAATTATTTAAAGAGCACTAATGATCTAGTGAATAAAGAGTAACACTGCAAACTCAAAGGCATGTGGTTCAAATCTACCTGTTCTGTGGGAGAAAGATGGGCACTCTCTTCCCATGCAACCTACAGCCTCTAAAAACTCACTGAAAAGGAGTTTTTGGTGACCTAGTGGCAAGAAGATGCACTGCAATCCTGAAGGCATGCTATTTGAATCCCTCCCCCCTCCCCCATCCCCACCATGTTCCCATGCTCCACTGGAGAAGGAGGGGCAATCTCCAGTTGGATCCAATTCAACAGTATAAAACAAGAAAAAAACCCTCAAACAAACCTCACTAGAGGGTCTGCTGTGAATCAGTTATGATGACAGCAGTAAGGGTTTTTTGTTTAAGAACAACTAAATAAGTATTGGTGGTTCCGTCCTTAAGTGTTCTGCTGTTAATCAAAAAGGCAGCAATTCATACATGCTAGTGAAGAACAGATAAAAACCTAGAGTTGCTGTAATCAAGGATGCTTCGGGCAGAATATTAAATGATCCAGGAAGTATTAAAAGAAGATGGAAGGAATATACTGAGTCATTATATAGAAAGGAATTGGCAGATACAGAGGAATTTAAAGAAATAACACATGAGCAAGAGCCTATGGTGATGAAGGAAGAAGTTCAAGCTGCTTTGAAGGAAATAGCAAAAAATAAAGCCCCAGGAATAGATGGTATACCAATTGAAGTATTTCAGATAACAGATGTTGCCCTAGACGTGCTCACCAAGTTGTGCCAAGAAATCTGGAGAACAACCACTTGGCCAACTGACTAGAAGAGATCTGTATTTGTTCCCATTCCAAAGAAAGGTGACCCAACTGAGTGTGGAAACTACAGAACAGTGTCATTGATTTCACATGCAAGCAAGATTCTGCTGAAGATCATCCAAAAACGATTAGAACAGCACATCAGCAGAGAACTGCCGGAAGTTCAGGCTGGGTTTAGAAGGGGTCGTGGTACTAGGGATATCGTTGCTGATGTTAGATGGATCTTGGCTGAAAGCAGGGAATACCAGAAGAATGTCTATCTGTGTTTCATTGATTATGCAAAGGCATTTGACTGTGTGGATCATAACAAACTGTGGCTGACTCTGAGAAGAATGGGAATCCCAGAACATTTAATTGTGCTAATACGAAACCTATACTTGGACCAAGAGGCAGTAGTCAGAACAGAGCAGGGTAACACTGCATGGTTCAAAATAGGGAAGGGTGTACGCCAGGGATGCATCCTGTCTCCATACCTTTTCAACATGTATGCAGAGCAGATTATCCGAGAGGCTGGGCTCTATGAGGAGAATTGTGGCATCAGGATTGGTGGAAGATCTATCAACAATCTGCGTTACGCAGATGACACAACCTTGCTTGCTGAAACTGAGGAGGACCTCATGCACTTGCTGCGAAGGGTCAAGGACTGCAGCCTTCAGTATGGACTAAGGCTCAACGTCAAGAAGACAAAGATTCTCGCCACTGGACCAATTGGCAGCGTCAGGATGGATGATGAAGAGATTGAGAGTGTTCACAGCTTCACTTTGCTCGGCTCCACAGTCAACACTCTTGGTACCAGCAGTCAGGAAATCAAAAAGCGTATCGCGATGGGAAAGTCTGCTGTTAGGGACCTCTCTAAAGTACTCAGGAGCAACAGTGTCTCTCTGGAGACTAAGGTACGCCTGATACAGGTCATGGTATTTGCAATCGCTTGTTATGCATCAGAGAGTTGGACAATGACTAGGGAGGACAGAAGGAGAGTGGATGCTTTTGAGCTGTGGTGCTGGAGAAGGGTACTGAATGTACCCTGGACTGCCAGGAAAACAAACAGATCCATCTTGGAGAGGATTAAACCAAGCTACTCCTTGGAGGCAAGGATTCTGGGGCTTCGTCTGACATACTTGGGACATGTTGCCAGGAGGGACGGGTCCTTGAAGAGGGACATCATGCTTGGGAGGGTGGAGGGACAGCGCAGGAGGGGAAGACCCTCTATGAGATGGATTGATTCGGTGACTGGGGTAATCGGGATGGGTGTGTCAGAGGCGGTGCGGTTGGCGCAGGATAGAGCAGGGTTTAGAGCTGTTGTGCATAGGGTCGCTATGAGTCGGAAACGACTCGATGGCACATAACAACAACAACAACAGAACCAAAACCACCATAACACAGTTTTTGTATTGTCTGTATATCTGTGATGCAATCATCTTGTAAAAGTTTTACTGAAAATTACCATTAACCAGTCTTTCTACTGAAAATAAATTATTAATAAAATGCTTTCACTTTAATTAGGAAAAAAAAGGGAGTAGCAATTCAAACCCACCAAACCATCCTTAGGGACAAAGCCCAAGTCAACTGCTCCTATAAAGATTATAGCCAAGGAAACCAGAGCAGTTCTACTTTGTTCTATATAGGATTGTAATGAGTTGAAGTCAATTTCACAGCACACAACACAGAATTAACTAATGTTGGCAATTACCACAAAGGAGACTGACAATTCAAAAAGAAAAACATGCAAGCATTTTTTATCTCTGCTGATGTCTATCAGGGAAAGCTCTAACGGAGAGCTCTATAGAGTCGCACTGTTAACATAAAGGCTGCAGCCTTTGGTGGTTCGAATCCACCAGTGACTCTAAGGAAGAAACATGGTCAGTCTTCCTTCTGTATGATTTACAGCCTCAGACCTAATGAGGGTCATTACGAGTCAGAACTGACTTTACAGCAGTGTGTTTGAGTTCTGTGATATACATTATAAAAACTGAAAAATCTAAGCATACTGCTGCTGAATCTGTTTTGACTCACCGTGACTCCCCATTGGATTTTGAGGCTGTCAAACTTTATGGGGTGAGACAGTCCATCTCCCACAAATGAACTGGTGGATCTGAACTACTAACCTTTCAGTCAGCAGCTGGATACATGACACACAATGCCACCATTGTCCCATGATGTGTATAAACACCATACAAATTTAGAAGATATACAAGGAACATGCTAAATGACATAAAAAACATGTGAAACCATAAGGTAACCATCAGGAAACTGCAAGGAAATGACAAAAGAAAGTAATCCACAGACTATAAGACTTAATAAACACATCAGTCTACTAAACCTTTGCCTTTTAGAGATCCACAAATATTTACAAATTAAATATATAAGTATCTGTGATATCTAAGATTTCTACTGACTTCCCAATGACCTAGACAGGATGGGTAAAACAAGCAAACAAAAAAGCCACTACCATTGAGTCAATTTCGACTCACAGCAATCCTACTGGAGAAAACAGAGTAACTCTGTAGGGCTTCCAAGGTTGTGATCTTTACAGTAGAAGAATAAGACATCATTCTCTGGCAAAGTGACTGATGAATTCAAACTGCTGATCATTTGCTTAGCACACAAACGATCACTGCATCACTAGGGCTCCTAGGAGAGGCACACATAAGCTTAAATGATCATGTATTGGTAAATGTTGTCAATGAGTGATATATACTTTCTGCTTCTAAATATGTGTGAAGTCGCACAATTTGATGGTAGAAAAAATGTAAACTTTGTAAGTAAATCAGTATAAAATAAATAAATTTTTAAGAAAAAAACCAAACCAAACAAACATAAGTGCCTTAATGTGTCTGCCATTATTCAGACTTCACAATCATCTTAAAACATGCAGATTCTATCCATACCATTATTTTTATCAGAGCGCTGGGGATGGCTATTGACTGGATTGGGTTCTCCATGTGTTGCCCAACGAGTATGAGCTATTCCCAGGTGTACATCAAATTCTATGTCCAAATCCATATCTTGTTGTTCTGAAGAAAATAAAATAACATTTTTTTAATATTAATTATGCTTAGTAAATACTATAAACTATATTTAAATATAATTATTATAATAGAAAGGAGCACTGATGGCCTAGTGGCAGGCAAGAAGCTACACTACAACCCCAAAGGCACCCGGTTCAAACGCCTATCAGCTGCTCCGTAGGAGAAGGATGGGAAATCTCCTCCTGTGCATTTAACTACCTCTGAAAACCTGCTGGAGGGTCAGCTATGGTCAGTTCCAACTCCATGGTACTCAAAGCCTTTGGATATTAGATATGTAAAAAGAAATTCACTTTTTCACAAAAGAAAAAATCTAATAGACCATGGAAAAAACCCAGCAACAACCACAGAAAAAAATCCCGGCTTCCGATGGCTTCACCAGTTTCTACAAAATATTGAGAGAACTATTATCAATCTTAAATCAAATTATTTCTGAAAAAAGAAGGAACATTCTCAGATTCATCCTACAAAGCAAATCGACACCAAAACCACATAAAGACATCATTAAAAAAGAAAACTACAGGAGAGCTCTGGTGGCCTAGTGGTAAGGAGGTGCAACTACAATCCCAGAGGTGCATGGTTTGAATCCACCAGATGCTCTGCCGGGGAAGGAGGGACAATCTCCTCCTGTACCAGTCGGATCTGATTTGATGGTACACTCACAAATATAACAAAATAAAAAAAACCAAAAAACAAAAAACTACAGAGCCATATCACTCATGAACATAGATACAAAAATTCTTAACAGAAAACATGTTAATTATGATGATGATTATACAAAATCAGAAGCTTATATCAATCTGCTGTTACCTGTTTTTCATAAAGAATTCTTTCTTAAAGTATTTTTATTCTAATCTACTTTCAAATTTTTATGTTATTTTCAAACTTCTTATGCAAAAATAATATATATTAGCATAATGTTTTAAACTACATATTGAGAAGGATAACCCCTTTAAGATGTGTGTACTTTTTTTTTTTTAGCCGAATTAACAAAGTTTATTTCGAGTTCGAACCGGGCTCCCGCGTGCTTACACAGCAGCATGCACCCGAGAGCCAAGATGTGTGTACTTTAGGCAACTATTTTGTACCAGGGAAGTAAGAAAGTATTAAAGTAGGAATCAGGTGCTTACCTGATGACATCAGACCTACTAGAAGGTGTAATGTCCAGATGTACTACACACTCAAACAAGGCATTTAGTACAAAATGAAGATAATCACCAAATGGAGGCACTACCAAAACTATCTTTTGTCCTATAGAAAGTCCTTCAGGAATAATAAATAGTTCTGAAGTTATTTCAGGGTAACGGAGCTTACTCTAAAGACAAATGTGCTTCATTTCCTTCTCTGGAGTATAGGATCATTTTTTTTTTTTTAAATTTTTAAATAGCACAACACAGTAATTTATTTCTTACTGGATGTTTTCTGTTAAGTCTTCAGAATAGAGTAAACAAAGGGTAAAAAGGTGAAAAGCTAATAATCAGTGAGAACTCATTTAAACCTTCTAGGCTACTGCCTTCATCTGTGTATGTCATCTTGCTGACAGCAAACAAGAAAGGGTACTTTTATTCATAAAGTGGACTTCAGGAAAAGAAGTTGGCAATCTGCTTGGTGCTTGCTTGGTGTTAGAGGTCGTGGCCCCAGTGTTCCCTGAGCAATTTTCTTCTTCAGTGGGATGGCCTGAAGACACAGGGAGGGTTGACAGTGTATGCTGGAAACTCATGATCATCCAAAATAAAACCCTAGGGACCACCCTCAATAATCCATATGAAGGCCAGACCACAGCAGCAGTTTCTCTCTCCTCACTAAGGAATGGACGGGAAGAAGGAAGCAGCCAGATTTACATGTGGGACCAAGTTTCTTGTCAGACTTCTCCTCCTCCCTTGTATTTTTTCATGTTGAACATAACCTCCCTTCTTCTTCCCTAGAAGATTATCTAAAGAGTCTCTCTGTGCTTCTGAGCCAATGAGTGGCAGGAATCTTAAACTAGTGGGGCTTGGCACCCTATATATAAGTAGAGAACCAAATATAATCCCTGCTTCTTTGTTTTCAGTCATGAAACCTTCCACAGCACGTCTTCGGGTCTTATTCATACTACGAAAACTCTAACTTGGGTCTGCTGGAAATCGCTAGTCTAGGCAGATTTGATCCGTTGAGGCTAAAAATTGAGACATATACCACATAGGGCTGGTTTTGCTGATGCTAAAAAGTTTAGATGAGCATCAATGTCTTCCATTATGACAAAGACTCAGTCACAATTAAAATTAAAACTGAGTTTTGCAAAAGTGCAAAATAACTTTTCATCAACATTCTGTTCTCCACTAAAGAGTAACCCGATCTTCCTCATAAACAAGCAAACCTATAAAACAAAATGTCTTAAAAAGTCATCTGACCCCTGCAGCTCTGACCCCCATCTTCAGGCATTGCACCGCTCCCCCCCAGCCCGGCTCGCGACGCCCCCCCAGCTCTGAATAGGATCATTTTTGAAGCCACAGATAAATTTTAAAACTAGCCCAGACAGTAAGAAAACCCCTTTCTTCTCTCTCTTCAACTTTCAGAACCATTATTCTTACAATAGCACTGGTGTTGTTCTTGTGTACCTTCAAGTAGGAACTGATCCAGAGCAGACCCTCCCATGGGTTTTCAAGGCAGTTAATAGCACTGGAGGAGAATGCCCATACTTCTCCCGCAGAGCAGCTGGCAGCGATGGATTCAAACCACATGCCTTTGGGATTGCACTGCAGCTTCTTACCACTAGGTCACCAGTGCTCCCTTATAACGCATAGCTGGGTGTTAAGTGCTCAGCTATTAAAACCCACTAGCCGCTCTACACAGAAAAAAAAATGTGGCAATTTTCTTTCATAAATACTGATAGGCATGGAAACTCTATAAGGCAGTTTTGCTCTGTTCTATCAGGTTGCTATGAGTCACAAGCAACTTGATGGCAATGGGTACTCTTAAATTACATCCCAAAATTTAGGGAAAAGGTTAATGTGGGAAGGGAAAAAGGAAAGGATAATAAAGAGCAAATGAAGTGTGTTACTGTGAACTTCTTCATCCAATGCCTTAACTTTCCCCTTCTTCTTAATGAGCTGGATTTTGCAGGCATTGGCTTCCCAATCCTTGTCATTGCCTCCATCAACTCCCACACCTAAACAAGCAAGAGACAAAAAGTAAGACAGAAACTGGTTATTATTATTGTGAGGCAAACTCTTTTTTAAAAATTATATTTTCATCTAATGGATTATTTCAACATTTATTGAACACCTATTAGTTTCCAAGAACCAAGACAGATACAAAAGACACAAATAAAAATTATTTCGTTCTTATCCTCAAATTTCTAATAGTCTATTGGGAAGAAAAACAGAAAAAATCATTATAATATAGTCTGATTATAGGTTCTAATAAAAGTACTGCGGCTTGTATAACAGGGAACACTGGTGGCCTTGTGGTAAAAAGCTGCAATCTCTTAAAACCACCAGGTTTGAATCCACCAGCTGTACAGCAGGAAAAAAACGGGTAATCTCCCATGCAATTGACTGTCTCTTAAGAACCTGCTGAAGAGTCAGCTTGTGTAACAGAAAAAAGAAGAAGATAGTCATACATCTCAGAAAGGTCATGAGGAACAAGTATCAGGAAACATGGATCTTGAGCATTATTTACATTCCTAAGGAATTTGGAAAAAGTTGCCATAGAGGTACATGAAAAGTACTGAACAGGGCCAAGCTGAGAAGGGACAAGACAAAAATGTTTTCTTTGAAAACAAGATAGAAAACAAACTGGAGGAGGTGAAACCTGAGAAGGAAACAAGCTGTTAGAAGTTATAGCCATAGTAAAGGAAAACTGAAGAAGGTCTGAACTAAACAGTGGTTGTGTTGTTGTTGTGTGCTGTCAAGTCACAGCTCACCACCTAGTCAGCTGGTGGGTTTTCAGAGGAAGTAAACTGACTCAGAAGAGACTGCCCATCCTTTTTCCCCCAAAGCAGCTGGTGGATTTGAACTGCATGCTTTTAGGATTGCAGTGCAGCTTCTTATTACTAGATCATGAGAGCTCAAGAGGATAGAAGTTAGTGATACTTGGGAATTGAGACAAGCCTGGGATATTGTCTTGGTTGAAAGGCAAAGTAAATGATCACTGATAAAAAGAACATAGAGTAGTGTGAGGACTGAACTATATTCAGATCAGTTCTTAATGGAGAGTTTAAGTTTTAGTCTCTATAAAACAAAATTTGTAGAATTTTAAGTCATCAATATATAGTGTTCAATACATCTGATGGACTCATCCATAAAAATGTCAAAAAAAGGGAGCAGGGTAAGTTTAAAAGAAAATTCAGAGCAAGGAAAGAATTTTTAAGAATGTTAACATTTCTCCCAAAGCAGACAAAAAAGAAATAATCACTATCTTAGGAAGACAGTGTGATGTATTGTCAGAGAAGCAAAGGAAGAAAGAATTTTAAGAACAAAGGGACTGAAACAAAATCCATACATCAAATATAAAAACTATCTCAAGAAGAATCAAAGACCTTGGCATAAAACTTAAAACTATAAAGATCATCAGAGAAAAACTTGGAGCAAACTTAGGAGACCTACTCTATGGCATACATAGACTACTGAAAATACACAATCAACACTGACTTCTACCAAACACATTTACTCTTAATGTTGTTGTTGTTGTTGTTGCTGGGTGTTGCTAAGTTGTTTAAAACACATAGTGACCCTATGAACAAGGGATCTGAACCTGGCCTTATTAAATACCATCCTCCTCATCTCAGATATACTTCTGCCTACTGTTTCAGTCACTGTGTCAATCTCTCTCATTGAAAGTGTCCTTCACGGACCCCTCCACCTTTTCCTGACCCTCCACCTTGTGAAGCATTGATTTTTTTTCCCAAGGACTGGCCCCTCCTAACAATATGCCCAAAATATGTAAGAAAAGTTTCACCATCCTTCTTTTAAGGAACACTTTGGTTATGCATTCTCCAAGACATTGTTTGTTCTTTTGGCATACCGTGGGAGAGTCAATACTCTGACAACACAACACAAAGGGATAGATTCTCCCTGTTATCTTCATTGATTGTCCAACTTTCAGATACATAATGTTGTTGTTGTTGTTATGTGCTGTCAAGTTGCCTGTGACTCAGCAACCCTATGTACAACAGCTGAATCCTGCTCTATCCTAAGCCAACCTCACTGTCTCCAACACACCTACCCCCATTATTGCACTGAGTCAGTCCATCTCATTCAGGGTCTTCCCCTCCTGCACTGCCCCTCCACCCTCCCAAGCATGACATCCCTCTCCAAGGACTGGTCCTTCCTTGCAACATGCCCAAAGTATGTCAGATGAAGCTTCAGAAGCCTTGCCTCCAAGGAGCAGCCTTGGCTTCACTCTCTCCAGGACAAACTTGTTTGTTCTCTTAACAGTCCATAGTATATTCAATAGTCTTTTTCAGCACCACAGCTCAAAGTCATCAATTCTCTATCATCCCCAGTCATTGTCCAACTTTCTGATGTATAGCAAGTAATTGCGAAGACCATGTCCTGGATCAGGCGCACCTTAGTCTCCTGACTTACGTCGTTCTTCGGTACTCTGGAGAGGTAACTGACAGCAAACTTTCCCAATGCAATTAGTCTTTTGACTTCCTGGCTGCTGGTACCAAAAGCATTGATTGTAGAGCCAAGCAAACTAAAGCTGTTTACAATCTCAATCTCTTCACTATGCATCATGATGCTGCTAATTGGCCCAGTGGTGAGAATCTTTGTTTCTTGATGTTGAACTTCAATGCATATTGAAGGCTGTAGTCTTTGCAGCAAATGCTTCAGGTCCTCCTCAGTTTCAGCAAGCAAGATTGTGTTTGTGTCATATGCATAATGCAGGTTATTGATGAATCTTCCTTCAATCCTGATGCCACATTCCTCCTCAAAGAGCCCAGCCCCCTGGATGATCTGTTCTATACACAGGTTGTAAAGGTACGGAAATAGGACACAACCCCAATTTATACCCTTCCCAAATGCAGTGTTTCCTTGCTCTTTTCTGATGACTGCCTCTTGGTCCAAGTCTAGGTTTGGAATAAGCACAATCAAGCATTCTGGGATTCCCATTCTTCTCATAGTTAGCCACAGATTGTTGTGATCCACAGTCAAATGCCTTTGCATAATCAATGAAACATAGACATTCCTGTGGTACTTTCTGCTTTCACCCAAGATCCATCTAATATTAGGTATAATAACCCTAGTACAATGACCTCTTCTTTTTTTTTAATTAATTTAGTTTGTTTATTTTTCATTTCAATGAAATCTACAGAGATTTTGGAATTCCATTCATTCATTGTTGCACCCTTCTCCCCACACAAACCCCCCCCCCCCCTTTGCTCCTCTCCTTGAAAAGCAAAAGAAAAACTCCCTCATTGGTACACAATCCCCCCGCACCACCCCAAACCCCACCCCCTACCCCCAAATATAATCCACTCTGCAACCCTCAATGCGTACTCCTACGATAAAAATAATGCCCTAAAATATAACGACCTCTTCTAAACCCAGCCTGCTTATCTGGCAACTCTGTGTTGATGTATTGTTCCAGTCATTTTTTTATCATTTTCAGCAGAACCTTACTTGCATGTGATATTAATGATAGTGTTTGATAATTTCTGCACTCTGTCAGGTCACCTTTCTTCGGAATGAGAACAAATACAGATCTCTTCCAATCAGTTGGCCAGTTGGTTGTCCTCCAGATTTCTTGGCACAACCTGGTGAGTGTATCCAGAGCAGCATTTGTTTGTTGAAATATGTCAATTGGTATACCGTCAACTCCTGGGGCTTTGTATTTTTGCCAATTCCTTCAGAACAGCTTGAACTTCTTCCTTCATCACCAAAGGCTCTTGTTCATATACTTTAGTCTTTAAACTGACATCATACTCTTTAGCACTCTGGAGAGATGCCTAACAACAGATATTTCCAATGCAGCTTTTAATTTCTTGACTGTTAGTGTATCAAGGGTGTTGATTTGATATCCAAGTATGATAAAACAATTGAAATTTTCAATCTCTCCTCCATCTATCATGATGTTGTTTCCTACTGGCCCAGTGGTGGTGAGTTTTTTTTCTTGAAGTTGAGATGTAATTCATATTGAAAGTTTAGTCTTTGATGCTCTACAGCAAGTGTTTCAAATTCTCCTTGATTTCAGCAAGCAAAACTGTATCATCTACATAATGCAGACTGTTGATGAGTCTTCCTCCAATCTGATGTCACATTCACCTCCATAAAGTCAGTTTCTCAAATGGTATATACACAAATAATCAATGCTAATAATACCTACAAGATATATAATCTTCAAATGCTTAATATCTTTTTTTAAACAGGAATTGAATATACTTGAGAAACAGGTCAAAGGCAGTAATGTCTCTAATGTACAGATGATGAAGTTTAAACTCTTACAATGCTAATGATTTTTCCCAGTTAGACATCTAATTATATGGCAAGTCAGTCCTAAGTTTTATAACAAAATAAATTTTTAAAAAACCAAAAGAATAGTCAATAGCATCCATTAGTGAAAGATGTCTATTATCTCTGGCACTATAAAGCGTGAAGAAAAGAGTAAACAGTAGGTACAAGAAAAGCCTTTGGCTGATGTCTGGGATTTGTATTTTATTAGGGTTCCTTCAACTGTGACTATTAGACATGGAAGACAGAAGTCACTATGTGACTAGCCTCAATAAAAATATTGGCACCACGTCACTCATGATCTTTCCAAGTATATAATACTTCATGTTACTATAACTTGCTTCTGAGCAAATTAAGCACATCTTAACTTGACTCCACCTGGAAGCTTATTCTTGGGTTTTGTTTACTTTGTCCCATCAGGCTTCCCCTTAGTTGACTTTGCTTTCTATCTTTCTGTTGTAAGAACACGAGTCTTCCTAATAAATCCCCTAATCTGAAACTTGTCTTAGGAATTCAAACATAACTAGAAGAGCTGAAGTAAAACATAAAGTTGACACAAACTTTTTGTGTATGTCATTTATTTAAATAGAAGAGTCTGGGGGCACATTTATATGCCAAAAGCATCAACTTCAGAGAGAAGAAGAAGAAGTAAAAGACACAGGAAAGGAAAAAAGAAAATTTACAGCATAAGGACTTAAGCACTTTGTTCTGCCATGAAAATAAAAGAGACAATTTATGCTTTCATAATAACTTTTGTAATCAAGGCAGAATAAGATCTTCATAAGACATAATTATCTATATAACAAGCCTCTTAAACATGATAAAAGACTAAACACTTCCATTACTAAAGAATCTAAACTGTCACTTAAAAATAGAAAAAATTAATTTAGATTCAAGAACCATGCAAAACCTCTAATATTTGTAAAAGGAAATACCAGCAGAATCATATCCTCTGTACTCCAGTCTCTGAAGGCCTTTGATTAGGGTCTCCAAGATTTCACGTCTTGTCCGGGGAACATGGTAGTTTAAATAAGCAAATATACCTGTAAATAAAAAAATATTTAGTAGAAAATTCTGATTGTGTTTTTAAAAGAAAAATCCTCATTGATAACAATTTTATCTAGGGTATAAAACATAGGAAATTTAATTCAATCTTTAAAAAAGAAAGACCTCTTCACTTCAAACTATTTAGAGGCAGTGACCTTTTTTTCAAAGCAATAATTTCAAAAAACACTGGCCATTATTGTAAAAATAGAAAGATAACTAGTAAAACATGGATGGACACCCAAAGGGGAAGGAGTGAGAACAGAGGGGTGAGGATGGGTAGGGGCAAAACCACAGGGTTGCACAATTTGGTGAGTGGAGGGAGCGGATAAAAGAAATGTGAAGAATCCAGCAGGGATCTAAAAAGGTAAAGTAATGAAGGGCATGGACCAGTGGTGATTAATTTTATAAAACATAACGCATGGGAATGATTGTATGAAACACAATGTAAATGAAGAATAATGTGAAACACAATGTATATGAACTTTGCAAGCAAATCAATATAAAAGAAAAATTTTTTAAAAGAAAGAGAAAAAAAGGAAGAGATATTTATAAGGTTAAAAACAATAACAACTCTTTGCTGTCAAGTCAGAATTGACTCAGAGCTGACCCTCCACCGGCTTTCCAAGCATGTAAATCCCAAGTCTGGCCATCTTTCTCCTGCTGAATAGCTGGTGAATACAAACTGCAAGAGAAGTATGGTTTTGGGATTAGTAGCACAGACTTCCTACAGACCACACCACCAGGACAGCCTGATAAGTCACCAGGGCTCCTTTAGAAACATAAAGCTGAGCAATGTCTTCCATCACAGTCATTCAGTCAAGTCAAATTTACCAAAACTTTAACCAATTAACAAATCTATGGTTCATGTCCTAGCAATCTGGCAGCATGTTTAAAGGGAAATATTTTCAGGGGGGTGGGGGGAGAATCTACATGGTGCAAGCAGGTTGACTGTTAAACCATAAGTTCAGTTCTGTAAAAGAAAGACCTGTGAAGTGCATCCATAAAGATTAAATCCAAGAAAATCCTAGTGAGCCGTTATACTCTGCAGCACATGGGTCATCAGGAGTCAGGGTTTGACATAAAGGCAGCAAACATTTTCAGAGATAGACACTTTATGCAACCTAAGAGCCCTACAAAATTAAACAAATACAACAGTTTTTCTTATTTGCACTGATTACACTATCAATAATAACCTTTAGAAATAAATAACTTATATGTATCAATGATGTGAAAAACACTCAAAAGTTGAAAAAATTAATAGGAAAGAAATTTACTAAAATATAGTCATTCTAAAAAGAAAATGCTGGAACCATTTATTCACCAAATACTAGCAAAATGGTCAGGTATTTCCTCCCTCTGGCATTTGAGGGCATCGTCAATGTCTATCAGTTTGGTGTTCCAAGACGCCTGGGGATTCTTCTCTGATTGCTTCAGAGCCACTAATAGTAAATTAGATTCCTTTCCTTTTTAATACTTTTAAAACAGCTGTTTCTCTTCTGGGTCTCCAACTCTTGTCACAGTGTTGCATCATGATTGTTCTGTGTGCAACTGCATCTACCAAATTAAAATTGTAAACCTAGGGAAAGTATCTTACTACCTTCAGAGCATATTGTTAAGAATCAATAAGATTATTAGGCCACAGCAAAAGGATTCTTACAGAATAGAACAAACATATGGCTCAGAAATGAAATTTTTTTAAACTTTTTTTTTTAATTATACTAGTTTATTTACAAAGTTTGGATACACTGTTTTCCAGAACAGATTCTTCTAATTCCCCTCACCTTCTCCATCAAATTGTACAACTCCATAATTAATCCCTCCTCCCCCTGCACATCCTCATCCCTCTGCTTCCACCCTCCCCCACACCCCCCGGATCTTTATACTCATTCTACCATAATGGTTTTGTACAATATTTGCCCTTGAAATATACTTTAAAATTTCTCCCAAAACACCCATTGCCATAAACTCAATTCAACTCTAAATGACCCTATAGCTGTCAGGTGCCATCAAACCAAGTACAACTCATGGCTCACCCTGTACACAATAGACTTCCTATCCTGCCACCCTCACTGTCTCTGACACACTTGAGCCCATTGCTGCAGTCATCTTGTCTATCCATTTCATTGAGGGTCTTTCTTTCAGTGACCCTTACATTTCCAAGCATAATGTCCCTCTCCAATGAATAGCCTCTCCTAATAATACTCCCAAAGTATGAGAGAGGAAGCTTCATCATCTTTGCCTCCAAGAAGCACTCTGGCTGCACTTTCTTCAAGACATAACTGTGTGTTCATGGGATATGCAATACTCTTCTCCAATACTACAACTTAAAGGCATAAATTCAGGGAGCTCTGGTAGCTTAGTGGCAAGAAGCTGCACTGCAATCCCAGAGGCACGCAGTTCAAATCCACCAGATGCTCTGCTGGAGAAGGAGGGGCAATCTCCTCCCGTACCAGTCAGATCCAATTTGATGGTACACATACAAAAAATAAAATTTTTTAAAAAAATAAAAATTAAAGGCATAAATTCTTCTACCATCCTCAATCACCATCCAGTTCTCAAATACATAGCAAGTGACTGACAACATCATAGCCTGAATTTGGTGCACTTTATGGTCCTCAGGCTGACATCTTTGCTCTTCTGTAATTTGGAGAGGTCTCTGACAGCAGACTTGATCAATTGAATATGTCTCCTTATCTCTCGATTGCCCCTACCAAGGGTACTGATTATTAATTCAAGCAAAATAAAATCACTGACAGAAAAAACTGCATTAGAGCATCGAGAAGTCAAAACAAAAGGAAGAGATGCTGAAGTAAAAAAGTTGAACAGAACATTTCAGTGGGCAGCTCAGGAAGACAAAGCAAAGTATTATAACAGAATGTGCTAGAAGAGCTAGAGTCAGAGAATAAAAAGGGAAGAACTCATCTGGCATTTCTCAAGCTGGAAGAAAACTAAAAAACGAGTTTAAGCCAAGAGTGGCAATACTGAGAGATGCTCTGAAAAAGATCTTGAACAGTCCAGGAGGCATCCAAAGAAGACAGAAGGAATACTGATAGGATAGCTGCATGGCTGACTGACAAGAAGAGACACATATTTGTTCCCATCCCCAAAATGGGAACAAAATATGGAAATTATCAAACAATATCATTAATATTAAATGCCAACAAAATATTGCTAAAGATCAGCTGAAAATGGCTGGAACAGTATATTGACAGGGAACTTCTTTAGAAGAGGCTGCAACACCAGGGATTATCATTGCCAATGTAAAATGTATACTTCACCTGTCTAATGGCCATCCGAGTATCTTTGTCTGTGTTCTTTCCATGTCTTTTGCCCATTTTGTAATTGTTATCAGTCTTTTTTTTTTTTGTAGAGGCCCTGTAGGAGTCTATAAACTTCTGATATGAGACCCTTGTCTGAAATGGTATTGCCAAATGTTTTTCCCAGTCAGCAGAGGTATTCTTTTCAGTCTGTTGGAAAATGTTTTTGATGCACACAGAGTTTTAATCTTTAGAAGGTCCCATTCATCAATTTAATCCTCTCCAGATGCTCAAAATCACTGACAACAAGAGAGATACAAATCAAAACCACAATGAGATACTTTCTCACTCCAGCAGCAGTGGCAACATTTAACAGGGCAGCAAGTAATAAATGTTGGAGAGGATGTGGCAAGATAGGAACTTTAATACATTGTTGGTGGGATTGTAAAGTGGTTCAACCAATCTGGAAGGCAGTTTGGCGCTTCCTCAGAAAAGCCTAACACAGAAATTCCCTATGATCCAGCTATTCCACTGCTTGGAATATACTGCAAAAGAATGAGAACTGAGGCACAAACAGAGACTTGCACACCAATGTTCATAGCAGCATTATTCATCACAGAAAGAACATGGAAAAAAGCATAAAATACAAAGATACTTTTCTTCTAAATCAACAGTATTGGGCAAATGCTTGTTAGTGTCACTTACTGAAGGCAAGTTCTTGGAGGTATCATACTTGTAAAGGTAGAGGGTTCATGAAGGAGAGGAAGACCCTAAATGAGATGGGTTAACACAGTGACTCTGACAGTGGCCTAAAGCACAACAGCAATTGTGAGAATGGTGCAGGGTAGTCTGCTCAACAACTCGGAATAACAATTAAGGGTAAGAGGGAAATTGAGGATTACTTATGGATTACTAAATTTCAGGTTTTGACAGTGGAAAAATCTCATTAATTAAGTACAGTTACTCAGTCAATAAATTCTACTGCTGTCAGTTAAGTTCTACATCTATAAAAAGTTGAACCGGCAAAAGCTATGATAGATTTATTTTAAAAGGCGAAAAATAAGGGAGCTCTGGTGGCCTAGTGGCAAGAAGCTGCACTGCAATCCCAGAGGTACAAGGTTCAAATCCACCAGATGCTCTGCTGGAGATGGAGGGGCCATCTCCTCCCGTACCAGTCAGATCTGATTTGATGGCACACACACACAATAATAAAAAGAAATTTAAAAAAAAAAAAGGAGAAAAATACAGAAACTGCTAAGGCTGGTTATAAACAATCAACTATTTCATCAGGCTTGGTTCCCTGGTTTGTTTAAAATCACATTTTCATGACCATAATTAATTGGCTTACTATTGCTTGGAAATGTGTAGGAACAGTGCAAAAGAGGAATACCCTAGATGAGATGTACTGACTTAGTAACTAGGGTTAATGGGGATAGGTGTGTTGGAGACAATGAAATTGGGTCTAGATAGAGCGGGGTTCAGAGCTGTTGTACACTGAGCTACTATAAGTTACAAGCAACTCATACTCATCAACACTTAACAACAACAACAACAACAACAACAACAACACTGCTTTAATGTTTCTGGTCTACCTCCCAGTTCAATACATAGTGACTGAGGTCTTCAAAGCTTGCAAGGGCCATTCAACATACAAAAACAACTGTTTCCTATTCCCCTTGTAAGGAGCTCTAGTGTAATGTATAGCATGGTACACTACTAACCAAAAGATCAGAG